GAGAGAGAGAGAGAGAGAGCTCAGCAAAGTACTTACATGTCTTTTCTGATGTAAATACTATCCAAGAATTGAAGTATATGAGGGGCATAAGGGACCAAAAGCTGAGTTTTTGGAGAGCTCTTGAAACCTTGGAAGATCCCTGAATATGCCTCCAAAATCCCATTTCTCAAAGAATTCGTATACTCGGTCATTTCATCATCAATACCTGCAGTATGTGCAGATAACTCTGCTGCCCTCTGAAGCATGGGCATCGCATACATCAAGTACTTCTCAAAATTCTCCCCTATAGCCAGTGCTATATCACCAAAGCATGAGAAAATAGGGGGCTTAACAGAACGATGTAATTGATCACTGGACAAATTCTTGAGCAGCTGAGTCATAATTCCATCACAGTAGGGCAAAACGTTATCCTCCAATGCCCTGCATATGTCCCCTACCACACCAACAGTGACGGCACAAACTTGGTATTCCTCAAAATTCTGAAGCCCCATTTCTATATATTTATAGAACTCAGTCATGTATTTACCAAAATCTGGGCCCGTTGAATAGGCAAGAGCTCCGATCGCAAGCATTGCTTCCTCATGTACAGTGGCATTTCTGCAAGCAAATACCCTCAGGAAAAGTCCCATTATTTGGTCTGCATACTGCATAAAGGCATACTTATTTGGCTCTGATGATCCTAGCTTCTGAATAAGAACTTGTAAGCACCCGCAGAGCAGGCCTTGTAGTTCCCCTTGTCTCTCCCTTTCATCAGATGAAAGTTTTTGCCCCTCAAGAGTATTGTGCAATTCCATCATAATGACAGGAACCAGTTGCAACACCATTGGTGCTGTTTCATCAGTTGAACACCTCACAACTTCATTCAATGTTTCATATGCAGCAGTCCTCAAACGCGATTCCCCAGCATCTTCTCTGTGAGTAACAGTCAAAAGGGACTGAACAATTTCTTGAAAAAATGGAGTTAGAGGAGATGATGGGCCAACATCTTCATAACCCTGAGCAAGAAAATAGAGAGCACCACAGGCCTTCTCTGCGACATTTGGAACATCCTTCATGCTCTGAAGCAAAACTGTAATGATCTGCTGACAGTTTGCCTGATTAATAATGGGTGTATCTATATTGGAGCCATGAAGAAATTCAAATATCCGTCCAAGGGTCCATGCAGTTGTGTCTTTCACATGGTTATTGGGATCCTGAGTCAATGCAGTCAGCATGAACGATAAAGCCACATTAACAATTGGCATTAATTTTTCTGGAGCAGGCCCCTCCAAAATTGAACCAAAAGCATAAGTGGCTGCCTCCCTCTGCCTCCAATCTGATTTTGTAATGTTCTCTTCAATGAATGGCATAACAAGTGGAACAATATCATCTCCAACCGTGCGTGCAACAAGCCCCAGACATGTACCCCCAGCCATGGCAATGTTCCAAGCCCCTTCATCCTGATCCTGATCCTCTTCTTGCTTTAGAAGTGTCTCAAGTAACATGGGCACAAGCGCAGGTAGTGCCTGCTTGATGAAATAAAAGCACGGTACATCAGAATCCCCAGTAAAGTCATCCCCATACTCTTCCAAGATATCTATCTCCTCGTCACAAATAGAACTCCAGAATTCAACGGCCTGAAGAGCAACAGGCTCTTCATCCTCCTTAACAGCCTTTGCTGTAATGCCAAAAATATCCTGGATATAGCGAGCTAATTTGTCATAGTATGTCGATGCAATTGAAACCAAACATTCAAAAGCTGCCTGACGTATCCGCACTTCAGGGGATAATGTGGCCTCACAAACAACTCTCATGATATAATCACGCTCCATATCATTACTAAAGTTTGCTTGAGCAAACCCAAGAGCATTGTACAAGGATCGCGTAGCGGCAAGTCGTACGTCATTGTTTCCTTCAGATGCATTCATTCCCTGGACAACAGCTGTCAATATCCTGTTCACTTGATCTTGATCTAACACGTCTGGAGAAACTTCCTCACATAAATAACCAAGGGTCTCCAAGGTGGCTTGTTTGACATGGGATGATTGTTGATGAACATTTAACAATAGAGAACCTATCAATTCGGGCCATTGCTTCTGAGGCAACTCAATGCCAGCAATCTTTGCAACGACTTGCGATGCTGTGGACCTAGCATCAGCCACTGCTGAAGACAGTGTATTCAACAAGCAAGTCTTAATCTGGGACTTCACATTGCTATCCAGTGATAGCCATCTCTGAATGAGCTCAAATTTTCTATGTTGTTCCTTAGCATCCAGTGCATTCTTAAGTATCAGTCCGGCTAATTTACGACTATCAACTGGCTTTTCCTCATTTCCTAATTCACCAGAGAGAGACAGCAAGAAACTGGGAAGGTTTTGTTCCTGAAATTGCCTTAAACTATCCTCTGCCTGCTTCCTCACATTTGCATCTATTGACTGTGCATTCAGAAGAACCTGCGTAACCTCCAATGCCATGTTTCACCTGAAACTCCAAATTAACGGTCAACAGATTCTTAATTGAGGAAACTAAATTCATTTACTAAGAAAATATTCATCCCATCCCAAAAAGCTCAATCAGAAATAATAATGGAAAAACGAAACCTAGCTATAGCAATCGCAAAACCCAGGAACAAAGAGCAAAAACCCAGATCTCAACAGCATAACCAAAAGAAACTAATAAAACTAATTAAACTGCAGGTGATCTATCGAGAACCCAGCCCCTTAAAGTCATATGGACCAACCGTCTATGTCGATATCGATATCTTCCGGTTCAAACCATAAGAAACAAAAATGAGAACAAATTTTCACAGGATCGAAATAAGCTTTAAATGCGATGCTACACAGACCACTATAAACATACTCGTTCCACTTCAAAAAAAATGAAACAAATAAAAAAAAAAACACTGATACTAAAAAGGCAATACAAAAAACATCAAGAACTGGATCCTAATGAAGATACAAAACAGAAAATGGATGAATCGGGGAAAATCAAATAGAAAATGCACAGATCAAAAGGGAAAAGAAATCAGCAAGCAAAATGAAACCCAATGAACATAAACACAAGGGGATTTTCGAAGATGGGAGAGAAATCAATACCTGGATTGGGAAAATTGAAGGGATTGGAAGAAGGAAGAAGAGAGTGTGGAGGAGCGAAAAGACGGCAGTTGGAGGAACCCTAGAGGAAGGGAAGGGGCAAAAGGAAGAGAGGAGGGAGAAGAAAATGGAAGGGCGCAAAGGCTGGACTTGAAACGCTAAAAACTAAATTATTTTTATTTTTATTTTTATTCCGCCCAAAAAAGCAATAATTTAAGAGAAAAATTCAGATGCATTTAGTTCCATTTTCGGGTTTTAGGTCTGACTTGTACAACCAATCACAACGTCCGCTGATGCCTTGCTGGAGAAGACAAACACAAATTTATCATCATTAAAATTTTAAGAAAAAGTCGTACGATAAAATAAGAGGAAAATTCAATCATTTTAAAATATCAATTTTTATTTTTATTTTTATTCAAAATATACCTAAAATTTTTAAATAATTAATTAGCCGAAAACATTAACTTATTTACATTAAAAAAATATAGTTTTAGATTATTTATTATTATGGGTTAAATTGGTTTAGGTCGGATCAATTTAAAAACTTAAGTATCAGATCAACTCGGGTAGGTTGAAGAAAAATGAATTTAATTTAATTTAATTTAAATCTAGGTATTGGATCAACTCGAGTAGGTTGAAAAAAGATCTAAACTAACTCGAAAAAGGTTTCTATCCGATCCATGATAGAACAAACAATTGTGAAGTTACTAATGATTTAACCTATGGTTACGTTGGTAGGTTGGGCATTGGTATAACATGATTTTTGGTGTTTTGTTGATTGAATTTTGTATGGAACTTTTGATTTTGGGAGCAATTTTCTAATTTTCCAAATAATTTTAAAGAGGCATTAAGTGCAAATTTAGAGTTCAATCTAATGAAATTGGGAAATTTTTTTAAAAGTATTTTTACTATAAATGTTGTCATAAACATTTTAAAAAAAGAGTAACATCAATGAGATAGCGAAGTTGAAAAACATAAGAACAACTACTCCTAATAAGAACTTTAAAAGAAATGCATACGTGTTTGATGTAATCTAACGGCTACAACTTAAAAGAAAATACAACTATCCTAATTTTATTTTCATGGTCTCGACAGGTATGTCGTCATCCATACTTGGTGTTTTACCTTTACTTGAAAAAATAATGGAAAATCATAGCTTGGGTATTAAAAAAATACTCATTTTTTGTATTGGAAAATCGGCTAAAATAATTGCATAAATTCAAACTTGGCTCCAATTGAGGATATGAAAATTCTAACTTAAGAGATTTCAAGAGAAATAGGATCGGCTAATGCCCTTTTTATTCCGTTTTTTTAAACATATACTACATAATTACACTTTTTATCATATGGTGATTCAAAAAGTTTATGTACCATAAATCGGTCACTATTTCAATTTGTGAAAAGAAATTTTCGCTTTGACTAATATTGTGAGTGACAAACTATATTAGGGTGTTGGGTTGATTAAAAAAAAAAAAACCACGAACTTAATTGGCGCTATATGAACAAAATTGAAGATTTTAAATTATAGACTAATTAAAGAGTAACTTAACCAAATCGATAAAATACTTATTACCTCCCTTTTAGATCAAAAATTGTGGACTTTCTATTATAATTGCATAACTGTTGGCTTTATCTCAAGAAATAATTTTGGACCTACAAGAAGCTCTACCTCAACACATTCAATGCTCTTTACTTCAACCATTAAGGAGGTTCCAAAAACAATTATTATGAACAATTGTTCCAAATTTCTACCAACATCCGGTGACTCACCATCAACTCTCTATTTGCAACACTCGACCTCAAACTGAACCTATGCATTAATTAGTTTTTGTTGGGACCCCGCTATGAAGATAGGCGATGACTCCATTAATAAATGGCTCAAATACCCATGGGAGTAAGCTTGTTAGGATTGCGAGTCCCAAGGCCACCAACCCAACTTCAAGCTTTACAAACCTATTCAGAAGCACATTAAAATGAAGAGTGGTTCCTTTATCAAGCATTCAAATCATTATTTTAGTATGAAATCACAAATAACTAAGGAGTAGAATACCATTTTATCACCTCAAAACTCATCCCAAACTTGCTAAAATGGCTTATACCTTCCTCTTATCATCCTTTATATAACACAGACAACTATTATCCCAAACAATTCAATTTACAACTAGAAATTTACAAGAGTGAGTCGAGTAATGCAACTATCGTTAGGTCGGGCGAGCTTCCGTAAAGAAACTCATCAAAGACAAATTTATCTACGGTGGAAAAGGAGTGCCTGCATAAGAATTAATAAGATAACAACATGGATTATCTACATACCCAATAAAATCATCCCATATTCTTCCCAAAACAGTAAGTCAAGCACCATTTCCTAAGCAATGGTTGTCAAGTCCTATTCATTTGATATTAAACTATCAGAAATAGAGACAATTCCATGAACATCAATGGTGTCAAATTATCACACGGTATAATATCTACTATCTATTTTACCCTGAATGACAATATTAACGACAGAGATACATTACTGTCGTCATCAGCATCATCTGATATGAAACAGGTAAGGTAAGCATGATAAATACTCCAAATCTATTTATAATGAAGTTGTTAGGAAAGGCCATGCATGGGAGTATTTACATTCAAAAGGAACGTGTGGAATAATCAATTAGAAGATAGAAGGGAAAAAGGCACACTGAACATGGTAATCCATCCGCCAGTTTCTACTTCCCCGCAGAGACCATGAAAGGCCAGATAGATTCGCAAAGATCACAAGGTGACTTTCCATCATTATCTTTTTCGTTAATGTTGGCATTGTTCTTCACAAGATATTCAGCAATCGATTTTCTGTCGCATACAACGGCATAATGCAATGGAGTTTGGCCATCAATGTCCTATATCAAAGAGTGCACCAAATTTCATTCACGTAGGAAACGAAGGGTAGATCCAGTAGGACACTAGTACTAAGTAGTAATTTGTATAGAACTTTTCAAAAACAAATCTACAATCTAAATGCACAATTTTGCTCTTAAGGCTAGCCTTAATTAAGAGTCATTTCTGTTTAATATTGCCAGTACATTTGCAATATGACATCAGGAAAAATGCTTGCTACCAAGTAGAGGTTCGGATCAGTGGTATGAAAACATCGCAAACAATCTTGATCGGTAAATATAATGTTAAATACATTCTAGTTACCTTTTCATTGATATCCGCATTCCTGCTAACAAGCAGCTCCACAACATTAGAATGCCCACGATCCACTGCCCAATGCAATGGGGTCCGGCCTTCACTATCTGCAATCGTTCAAAAGAATTGTTTAGGAAAGATATTACTCAATATCATCCTTGAAAGGAAAACAAAAATGTAGCCACTCTAGCGTGTTCCTTGAATCATTTGCAAGAAAAAAATAATAATATACACAGAGAACGTTAGTAGAAGCACTGCATGACATGATATTTTCAAATTTTATTTTCATCTAAATTCAAGTTATACCCAGATTCAAGAAGTATTTCGAAATTTAGAATTCGAATATGAAGATACAGCTAGACCCTTCTCTCATGGGGATGGCATGAGACTTCCCCATACTAGAGTGCAGATTTAAATCTCAGCAAGTTTCAAGTTAGATGTAAGAATTTGGGGAAGAAAGATTTAGATGTTATCTGTTCAGAGGGTTTAGGAATGGCTCTTTACTAAACTTGGGACAAAAGAACATCAAACAAAAGAGGTCTTGTAGGAAAATCATGAAATTGGAGGATTTGAGAAAAATTGATTATCTATACCTGGCTATTAGAATAGTTTTTGTTGGTCAAACTTCCTCTCCTGGCATTGATCTTCAAAGAGTCAATAGCGCATCTACAAGCTAATAGAATTGGACATAGCAAAGGAAGCCGGGCACCTAATTGTTTATCCTTCTGGGTACTCGCATAATTTTTAAAGATCAATTGAGTGAAAATTATGTTAAGTTGCTGCAATGGAAAAACAGGATGGATGACATCCAAGGGTCGTGCATTCTGTTATGGGAAATACTTCAACGCACCTTCTCTCTTTGTTAAAGATGGAACTAGTGTTTGTTATTAGAAAGAAATGCTGAAGACGAAAGCATGGGTTTCCACCGGAATGCTGTAGGAAACGGAAAGGCTAATCATTTGAATATCTGTAAAGTTTCTCTTTCTACAGAATAGGGAAATTTAGAATTTGAAAGTCTTAGATGCAAAATTTAGGTTCAATTGGCTTCATGATTTAAAAATTTCTTGAAAACAAAATTTCAGTCTGAAACGTCAATTCTAGAAGAAATCTCAATGAAGAAGGAATGTGGATTGGCCCTCACTCATGAGTCATATTTTTTAGGCTTCACTCCAACCAATCTCCTGGATTCATGGACTTGGACATTGAGCCCTTCGGTCACTTTTACTTGCAGCTCTCTCCTAAGAGACCTAAATAACCTAAGGGGCATTTACCAATCTGAAACTTATAAAGTGATCTGGAAAAACAAATATCAGAAGGAAGTATCAATCCTTTGTACAGCAGCAATACCCAAGAAACAATGCAGAAAAGAAGCCCCTGGTTAGCTCTATACCCAAATTGTTGCAATCTTTACAGGCAATATTCAAAACCACAAGATCACACCTCTGTCCACTGTCCAATTGCTACTACTTTTTGTAGTAAAATCTGAGCTTCATTTGATTGGGTCCTGCCTCTCAATAAAACAATTACCTCCAATCTTCACTCCATTTGACTTAATCACCCTATCAAGAAAAAGACTAAAATATTTGGCTGAATATCATTAGAAGACTCCTCTGACATACTTGGATTGAGAGGAAATACAGAATTTTTGGTGGACAGGAAGGAAATTACCCTTATCTAATTGATCAGATCCTTTCTACAGCAGCCTCTTGACGTAAGTTAGAAATATGTTTTCTAATTACTCTTTAAAGGTTACATGGAGGGCATTTTTTGGTAAATCCAATTAGCCGCAGCGGGGATTCTCCTCCCTTTCTGTATATGACTTTATATTAATGAAATTATGCTTCCTTTCAAAGGGAAAAACTAAAAAAAAAGAAAGGAAATAAAGAAAACGAGGTATAGCACAAGCAAAAAGTAGGGGGGAAAATATAATAGGATGTAGCTAAAGCTATTCTGTGGTTAATTTGGAAGCACAGGA